TACGACTACTTTAACTAATAAAGTCCAAGTAGTAAAATTTGTAAAAGGTCAAGATAACACAATGAGACAAGGAATTGGTTACCAAACTAATGCCAAAAATGTTACTTCAAAGCCGAAGCCTCAAAGACAATTTAATTCGCCCAATGCAGTCAAATAATACGCAAAATTTTTGGAAATATGCCAATGAGTTAAGTGCACAAAGTTCTCATAGGAGAATGGGAAGATCTCCAAGGATTGGGGCAGGGAGACTATATCCGTCTGAGCAAGATTGGTTTAATGAAACTAAACCATGGACTAAGTCTAGGTTTAATGCCTTTCATAGGCTCAAACAATCTTCTTCCCAAGTGCCAAAGAATCGAGTCAATTTTCAGAACCCGGCACAAAAAATGTTTTCAAAAATTAGCTATGATTATAAAGTATCTACTGGTTACAAATCACCTAACCTTGGATCAGTGAGCACTAGGTGGATTTGGGTACCAAAAATGACTAAAACCCAAGGACCCGGCCAAATCATGTTGGGTAGTGTAACTTACTTACAAGAAATTTGGTACTTCGATAGTGGATGTTCTCGTCACATGATTGGAAATAAATCTAGTCTCGTGGACTTTAAAAATATCGAAGGACCAAAAGTTGTATTTGGTGGAAATGATAGATATGGCACAACTAAAGGTGTTGGTACGGTATCTCGCAACGGTCTAAAAATAGAGGATGTATCATTTGTTGAAGTTTAAAAATTTAATATGCTAAGTACTAGTAAATTTTGCGACAAAGGTTATCTTGTAGAATTTTTTCAAGGACAGATGTCAAGTAAAGAAAGAATCCACCGTGAAATTGTACTTGAAGGAATCAGGAAAAAGAATATGTACATTGTAGACTGGAACTCAACCAAGGAATCTGTTTGTCTCGTGGCAAATAGCTCAAGCAATGTAGGTTGGGAATGGCACAAGAAGTTGAGTCATCTCAACTTCAAGACCATTAACAAACTTGTAACAAAAAATTTAGTCAGAGGACTACCCAACATCACCTACAAAAAGGATCAAATTTGCAATGCGTGTCAAAAGGGAAAACAAATCAAATCATCCTTCAAGGCAAAAATGCACGAGTCAAGTTAACGACCTCTAGTCTACTACATATGGACCTTTTTGGTCCTGTAGACCTAGTAAGTATGAGTGGTAAGAAATATACTCTTGTTATTGTTGATGACTTTTTCAGGTACACATGGACTATATTTCTCAACAAAAAGAATGAAGTCGAGAAGAAGCTACCATATCTACTCAAACAACTCCAAAATGAAAAAGAAGTCAAAATTGTCAAGATCCGTACTGATAGAGGTACAGAGTTCGTGAACGACGTGATTCAAAATTATTGCAACTCTCAAGGAATCTCACATCAATTATCAGCCACAAGAACACCGCAACAAAATAGTGTTGCCGAAAGAAGGAATCGAACACTTAAAGAGGCTGCACGTGTAATGATCTCAGTAGCTGGACTTCCTAAACGATATTGGGTCGAAGCAATCAACACTGCTTGCTATACTCAAAACAGAAGCATGATCCACAAGCAATACAACCCGACACCTTATGAACTTTGGAAAGGGAGAAAACCAAACATTAGTTATTTTCATTCTTTTGGTTGCAAATGTTTTGTGCGTGTTAACGATAAAACGCATCGAAGGACTTTTGATGAGCGTGTAGATGAAGGAATCTTCCTAGGATATTCAACTACCAGCAAGACATTCAGAATCTTGAATAAAAGAACAATGGTGGTTGAAGAATTCAAACACGTTGTATTTGATGAAAAAGAAAGTCCGAAAAGCGTAGTACAAAACGTGAATGCAGTGCAAAATGGTAAAGAAAATCAAATTGATTTTTATGATACTAATGAATCTTGTGAAGACGATATTTTGCAGGGATTGAATGAGTTAGAGATAAATTCTTTAGAAAATCCCATCCATCATACAGAAGAAAGAATTGATGGAAATAATGGAGATGATAACATAAATGAGCTTGGAAGTGAAGTTGGAAGAGAGGCTGAAACTGAAACTCATACCAGCAACTCGCAACCAGAAAGTTCCTCCAGAACTAATCACACCTTTGAACCAGACCTAAGATGGCTCAAAGACCATCTTCCAGAACTAGTCATCGGAAACGTACGAGACGGTGTAAAAACAAGATCTTCAACGATAGAACCATTATTCACGTGTTATTTATCTCAAATTGAACCAAAAGAAGTGGACAAAGCACTGAATGATCCAAGTTGGATAGAATCAATGCAAGAAGAACTCAACCAATTCACAAGGAATGAAGTGTGGGAACTTGTTCCAAGACCAAAAGATCAGGGCCGGTCCAAACATTTTATAGGCCCGGGGCGAAATTTAAAAAAGGGGCCCCTATATAAAAAAAAGTAAAATTAAAATTTAATAATACTAATAAAATCATGATGTCAAATAACATGAAATAAGATTAGAAAATTTTAAACAATTTTTTTTAAATACAAAAATATTCATGTCATTCAATACCTGCAAAAATAAAAATTAATATTCTGCATAAATAAATGAAGTTATAACATATAGGCCAATTAATTCCGAATAAATCCCCATTAATATTTGGACATCAACATTCAACAAGAGCAATCCACAAAGGTTAAAAAGAGACAATATGAATCACTACAACAAAGTAATTAATAAATTAAACCAAAAAATTACTTTGGCATCTCACGGATGCCATTTTACTTTGAGAATGAATAGATACAACAATACAACTTATTCCACTACAAAAAAACACGCAAATAGCGACGGACAATTTCCGTCGCTAAACAGGCCAAATCCGTCACTAAACCATATAACGACGGATTTCGTCCGTCGCTATAATGAGCGTCGCTAGATTTTAACGACGCGAATTATTTCCGTCGCTAGCCGTGGCGACGGAACTTTCCGTCGCCAGAGCAAAATAATCCGTCGCTAAAGTCCGACCGGCGACGGCTTCGACGTCAAAATTTGCGAGTGGAAAGTGACGGAATATTCCGTCACTAGATGTAGCGACGGATATTCCGTCGCTAAACAAGCAATATATCCGTTGCTAAACTCTTACCACGACGAAATGGTGACGCCCTTTAAAAACTAAGTCATGACTAAGCCATGACTTGTAATTTTCAATTCTGCAAATCTCAATTAAAAATTATCATTTTTAAATAAATTATAGAGCTTTCAGAAATCAGAATTCTACAAATTCCTAATGTATTGCATTCTACAATTCTGCAAATCCCAATTTCCAAATGGCCAAATCATAGACTTTTCAACAATACAATTAACAATACGGCTTAATTCCCAAATCATAGCTTCCAAAAAAAAAAAAAAATCTGAAATCATAAACATTAAAATACCTTTGCAAATTACAATTATAGACCAGAGTAGTGAAAGTGCGGTGAACATAGTCAAGATTGGCTGACCGCAGAGAAGATTTGTTATTTGTGGATTATGAAAGTAGGTTGCCGATTCACTCAATTGCTCATTCTTATTTAGCTTCTGGACTTTTAATAACTCCCTGAGAGGAATTAAACGGTTGCTGTGGCGGAGAGGTATTGAATGGTTGTGACTTGTGATGCGCCGATGCCTCTTTTCTTCGGTTCTTCCTGAATCTTCCATCTATTCGACTTCCATAAGAAGTCATTAAGTCAAAAATAATTAAATAATTTTTTCTAATATATATTAAGTAATCTAATCTAAAAACTAATAAGTGTGAATGAAAGTTATACCTTTCATTTATGTCCATTTTTCCATTACTTTTTTTGTATACATTATGCTATAAGAGTTGTACTATACAATATTTTGGACAAAAATACCCCTACCGTTATAACTTCCGTTATCTTTTTCCACTATTGTTGCTATGCATATGCATCCACTATATATTTTCTTATCTTCTTCAATGCTAATAATATATAGACATTATATATTAGAGTTTTTATTATTATTATTATTATTATTATTATTATTATTATTATTATTATTATTATTATTATTATTATTATTATTATTATTATTACAATTATTATTATTATTATAATTATAATAATAATTATTATTATTATTATTATTATTATTATTATTATTATTATTATTATTATTATTATTATTATATAAATCTAAGATTTTAATATAGAGTATTAATATTGGGCATTGATTTTTGCGCATCGCGCATAGAAAATACTAGTATATATAATATATACAATTTATTATATCTTAGTCTATGGGCCCCCTCTAGGGATGGGCCCTGGGCAGGGGCCAGCCGCCAGCCTGCCCATACCCCAGGGCCGGCCCTGCAAAAGATCATAACGTTATTGGTACAAAATGGGTCTTCAGGAACAAAACCAATGAAGATGGAGTTACTATTAGGAATAAAGTGAGGCTAGTTGCAAAGGGCTACAATCAGGAAGAATGAATAGACTTTGATGAGACTTTTGCCCCAGTTACACGACTTGAAGCTATTCGAATTTTCTTAGCCTACGTAGCCTATAAGAACTTCACGGTATATCAAATGGATGTAAAGAGCGCATTCCTAAATGGTTTACTTGAAGAAGAAGTATATGTTGAACAACCATCCGGATTTGAGGTAAAATGTGAAGTTAATAAGGTCTATAAACTAAATAAGGAATGGTATGGGTTAAAACAAGCTCCAAGAGCTTGGTATGATACTTTATCAATGTTCTTAATTAGTTGTGGATTCACAAAGGGCCTTGTTGACATAACCTTATTTAGAATTCAAGACGGTGATCACATTTTATTAGTACAAAATATATGTTGATGATATTATTTTTAGAAGTACTAGTATGATACCCGTGCGATGCACGGGACCATAATTTAACATTAATGAAAATATATTTGTTGTATTGTAAGATAACCATTTTTTCAACTAAGCATTACTTTGGATTTAAGAAATGGGAAAAACCACACTAGTTAACAGTAACGATTGTTATTGGTCTAACACATCATAACAATTTTGAAATTACAAATTGTTAAATACCTCTTTGTAAACAACATTGGTGGTTGAATTACAACTATTGCCTAACTCATTACAAATCAAAATTTTGAGCCCTTTAGGATTGCTCACCCTAGATGCGGCTACATATAATTGTCCGTGTACAAAAGCTGGCTTCTTGAGTAGCAATCCAACATGGGATAACATCTGTCCCTGGCTTTTGTTTATAGTCATTGCATATGACAGCATTAATGGGAATTGTTTTCTTTTAAACTTGAATGACAATCTTGGATCTGAAGGAGTCATAGACATTCGAGGAACCAACACCCTATTACCTGTATGGTCACCTGTGGATATTTTTGCTTCTATGACATGTTCTGCCAACTTAGTGACTATCAATCTAGTACCACTGCACAACCCGTGGGAGTGATCTATATTTCTCAGTAGCATCACAGGTGAGCCAACCTTTAACGTTAAAGAGTGGTTAGGTATGCCAGAAGCTCGTATGCCATTAAAGAATTCAGGGGTGTGTACATCAGCCAAAAGTCCCTCGCTGGACTCAGACCTACAGACCATATCGTAACTCAAATATGTATATATATATATATATATATATATATATATATATATATATATATATATATGTGTGTGTGTGTGTGTGTGTGTGTGTGTGTGTGTGTGTGTGTGTGTGTGTGTGTGTGTACACTAATATATTTGATTATTTTCACTAATATACATATGAATATAAAAACCCCTATATATTCATAACAACTTTTTTACTATAATATATAATTGTACCATTTGTTATATCGCTTAATGGTACAGACTCGTTTAGTCTAAATTGTGGCTCGCCATGAAACGGAGTCGATGGTGTGCCGAAATTTCTCAATCAGCCATCTGACATACTGGCTGGTTGACAATTCTTATTATTATAACTATTTTTTTTTATAAAACTTTTATATATATATATATATATGTGTGTGTGTGTGTACACTAATATATTTGATTATTTTCACTAATATACATATGAATATAAAAACCCCTATATATTCATAACAACTTTTTTACTATAATATATAATTGTACCATTTGTCATATCGCTTAATGGTACAGACTCGTTTAGTCTAAATTGTGGCTCGCCATGAAACGGAGTCGATGGTGTGTCGAAATTTCTCAATGAGCCATCTGGCATACTGGCTGGTTGACAGTTCTTATTATTATGACATACATTAGATAGATGCATTTGGGATAATGTCGAACCGTATGGCGTAACAATTGTTGTTTGGGGTAAATTATCACCTAAATCATGTGAAATAAAGTTAGTATATACATTAGAAAAAAAAATTATAATATCATTAAAGGTAAAAAAAATTCATACTTACCATTTGTTAACACGATGAACGGAGTAGATAATGATCTTTGAAATACACCGTACACAATTGACGGACTTGTGCTTCTATTTGAATTAAAGTAGGATGATGAAATGTTTTCTACAGAATATTTAATAACTTATGAGAAAACAATAATTAATAATATATCACTAAATCACTAAAAAAAAAATTAAACACATATCACTAATATATGCATACTATATTTTTATGCATGTCACTAATAAACACATCCACTTCACATTTCACATACTATAAACACATGTCACTAATAAACACATCCACTTCACAATTGCTAAAAAAACATATTTACAAATGTATGTATGTAGGGAAGATATTATTAGCTATATATGTTATACGTATAACATATGTACAAATGTATGTATGTAGGGAAGATATTAAGAAGCGCAACATTTTCTATAAAAAAAATAAAAATAAATAAAAAGCACAATCTGTGTTAAATCTAAGTAGCCTAACATTTTCTATAAAAATAAAAATAAAAATAAATAAGAAGCACAATATGTGTTAAATCTAATTAGCCCAAACAATTATAGAGCCCAATTAGTAGACCCTAGCTACAACTAACCCAATCTACGGACAACACTCTCCACATCACAATTTCCTAATATCTCTCCTCCTAGCTAATCTCTCACGCCAAGCTCTACCTAAATTAACTCTTGGCATTCTCTCACACCATTCTCACATCTGCTACCTAGATTAGCTCTTCCGGTTCGTTCTAAATTTTAGATCTGGAACTCCAATCTCCACTAAAAAAATTTTAGATACATCTCTATATCTATCTTTTGTACTATTCATTGTTTATTACTTGATCGAAGAACACAGATTGAAAAATAGAGTACCAAAGGCGCTAAATTGCAGAAAGAGGTAAGTTATTTTGTACTTTAATTTTGAATTTATAAGTATTTATGTTTTTCTATCTATTTACCCAAATGTGTTAGCTTCGATGTATGGAATCTGCGAATACAATTTTCCAGATCTGTGTTATTTCTCCACTTCTATTGTTTTTCCTTCAAAGAATCATAGTTCTAATTTTATTTTTTTTTATTTTTTATTTTTTATTTTTTTTTACAGAAAATGGCGATAGGTTTTGATAGGACTCATAGATCTGGAGCATGCATAAAGACTATGGACAACTCTTGATCTATCTTACAGATCTGGTAAGTGGGTAGATTTTTCTTCACATATTATATCCATTTTATTACGGATGTGGTATCGTTTGTGTCTAAGTTGTCTAACAATTGTTGTGAGTTCATGATAAAGACATACATTAGTTTTAAAAATTTCAAGTTTTCAACCATACAGTTAAAAGATACATGAAAAAAATAGACCGATGAACCCACCTTTGTTGTCGAACTGTTGTTTCCTTTTTTTCCCAATAAGAGTTGACGCAGTGATCTTCTTCATATGCCTTTCTGTTCGATGAAGGTAGAAAATGTATGTAGATAGCTTGTCGTTTTGAATATTGACTCTATTCAAAAAAAAAAGTATAGATAGCTTGTCTGATTCAAAGAGTTATATATATACACATAGGTGAACTGGAATTATTTAATCAATGAACAGAGATAAGTATGGTGCTTAGCCTAATATGTAGGCTGCTGGCCTATAGGCTATAGTAGAGTTGTATGGGTATGGGCTAGGATGCGTGTGTTTTAAGTCTAGATGGGTATGGCTGCAGGGCATTTTTAATTCTTGGAAGTCTAAACGGTGAACCATTTTCCTATGCAGATGCAATTCAAAAGGCTGTGGCGCTGTGTAAACAATTTATGAACAAAGGATGGCTAGCACGATTTACTAAATTTTAATCCCATTGCATTTGCCTCAAACGACGCCGTACCGTTTGGGCGGGATTTCGCCCCCCCCCCCCCCCCCCCCCCCCAAAACGATTTAGCTTTATTATAGTTAGGACTAATAAATCTTTATGTGAGAAATTTTCTAAGCTCATGCAGAACAGGTTTGGAATGAGCATGATGGGTGAGTTGAACTATTTTCTTGGACTTCAAGTAAAACAAATGAAAGAAGGAATTTTCGTAAACCAAGCCAAGTACACTAAAGATCTTATCAAAAAGTTTGGCTTAGAAGGAAAAGGCTCTGTCAAAATTCATGAGCACTTCATCAAGATTGGATAAAGATGACGAAGGAAAAGACGTTGACCAAATAAAGTATGGTGGAATGATTGGATCTCTACTATACGTAACTGCAAGTAGACCCGATATATCTTACTCAGTAGGTGTATGTGCAAGATTTCAATCAAAGCCCAAAGAAAGTCACCTTGCTACCAAAAAGATCATCAGATATCTAAAAGGAACAATGGGATTATGGTATTCCAAAGAAGGTAACTTTATATATGTATATGTGTGCTGTGGATGAATATGAATACTTAGAATAGTATTTGTTGTGGAGAATACTTCAATTCAAGCCGTGTAAAGGGAACTCCCCTTTCACGTTCAAATTGGGGCAATGTAACCATTTCTTGATGAGTTTTCCAGCAACTCAGGCAGTTTGCCTATGTAGCATTTTAGCTGGGTATGTTTTCTCATTTCAAGTGAAGTTATAAAAGGGCGTGGTATTGGGATTGCTGCAATGAGAAAGGGAGAAAGAAGATTGTATACTATTCTAGCCAATATGGTTTCATGGCAGAGATTAGGTAAAAGGAATGGGATTGAGGGTGCAAAAGTATTTAACAATGCTTTTGTATGAGGGGACAGATCAGGGTGTCCTGTAAGGAGATTAAGGAGGTTTCCCCCCTACCATGTCAAAAGCATGGTGTTCTTTGATAACAGTGCTTGATTGAAATTTTGAGGCATAGATTTGCTTGACTGGGCAATTTGTGGAAAACTTGGTACTAGGTAAGATTAATCTCAATAGGTGCTGGAATTAGTAGACTGCAAAAGATAATAATATTTATATGCTTGGATAACTATAAACTAGAACAATTTTCGGTGGTGCTTCTTGACTAGGATAAGGCGTAGTATTTGTTAGTAGTTTCTTTCCAGTTTAGGAAATTAGTATTGTAGAGGAAGAAGATAACTTAGTTTTCATGGATGAAGGCATGAAGCATCTTGAGAACCTAGTGGAAAGAGTATATTGTATATAAAAACGTGGTTACAAATGTGCTATAAATTTGTACTCCTAATCAAATGTCTATTTTCCATTCAAATTGACTGTCTCCATGCTCTGTACAACAGAAGCTCTACTGTATGTCTGTATAAACGCATAAAACTTTTATTTGCCTGTAAAGGAAGTAAATATCAGGTGTTTACCCTTTGTCTCTCCTATGGCCTCATGTTGTTTATAAGTATGATCTTACATGCTTGGTCTTATCCTTCTTTTTAATTTCATAAGTACGTCTAGTTTTATCTATTGTGTGGACAATCTTCTGAATTCATATACAACCACCGAGCAATTTTTGTAGGGTAGTGGATCAGCAACCCAAAATGAATTTTCATATATGTCATGGAATAGAAAGGTTCAACAGATATTGGCGTCCACATCATCAAATGGCACAACTGGTCAGCAAGAAGTCAGCTGAAGGATGCACTAGTCTCCATTTGAAGTTTGAAAAAATTGCCTTTTAATCTTAAAATTTTATTTTCCTTTTCTATTTCTCTAGTGGTTTGGGATCTGAGGAATCAAAAACCTGTGATAAGGTATGCCTTATCCTAAAATTGGCGCGTTGTTTTGTTCTTTCCATTATTTGATCTCAAATTATAACCTACTTTAAAGGGTAAACTTGCAGTTTCTCAGATTCTCAAATTCTATTAGAATCCTGATGTTGCCACTCAACTTGTAGTTGCCTCTGATGAAGATACTTCACATGCATTGAGGGTAATCATTTGTTTTCCATTGGCTAAAATGTTCTATTTATCACTTATAACTAGCTTATTTATTTTCACAGATGTGGGATATGCGAAATACAATGTCTCCAGTGAAAGAGCTTACGGGGCATACCAAAGAGAGTGAAGCTCTGTGAAGATGTGATTATTTAGCATCTCTAATGTTTATTTTTTTGAAAAGCATTTCTAATGTATAACCAAGAATTTGGTGCATTTAGAGAACTGCTTCTCCAATTCCATCTTGTTGAGTTGGTTGAATTTGATTCTTTATAGTCTTTACAAAGTTGTATGAAATATTTCATTTTTGTAGTGGTGATGAAGTCTTTTAATATATTGATCGAGTCTACTTTGATTGCATTATGGTAAAAAAATTAATTTTTATCAACACAATATCTATAGTTATAACATAACATAATATCGATTAGTGAGGAAAAAATGTTTATAAAAATTAATATTTAATGAGAAATAACAATATATATAAAATTAGAAAAATAATATTTGACACTAATTATAATTTTTAGTGATCAGAATTTCCATCATTATAAGAATATAATGAGAGGAAATTATGCTAGTGAGTAGTTATATTAGTGACAGGATTCTTTGTCACAAAAGGAATATTTTAGTGACGGTAAATATATTATCACTATATGCTTATTAATGATGGTATCATATCCCATCACTATTTGTTTTTAACCGCGGAAGAAATAACGACGGGTGGCGACGGTAAATTTTCCGTCATTAAAAGTCTTTTATGATGGTTTTTGATTTTTTGGTGACGCGGTTTTCCTTCTCACTAATGAACAATTTTTTTTGTAGTGAATCCCCTCCTTCCTATTCTTTTCTTCATGTCTTTGACTACTTGTGTTATCCATATTTAAGGCCATCCAATCGTCATAAAATGTCCTACATGTCCTCTCTTTACGTATTCTTAGGTTATCCAGACTCTTTTAGGGGTATAGGTGCAGGGACTTACAGACTAACAAGACTTATATGTGCAGGCATGTTAGATTTGATGAACGAATTTTTCCTTTTGTTATTAAACCTCCCTTACATGCAGCCCCACCTACTACATGTGGACCGTGGGCGGAATCGCACTCCAGACTAGCGTCCCCAATGTTTCGGCAGAAACAATACAGATTGCTCTGTCCGTACCGACGGCTATATCTGCTCGTCTACATGTACGACCACGTGGCAGGTCCAGACAACAGAACGTCCGAACTCATGCCATGGAGACCCGAAGTCGGTCTCAGGCTCCTCATACGGTCCTAACTACCTAGGTTTGTCCCACTGAACCAACTTGTTACACACAGGCAGTTAAGTATCCTAAGTGGGGTGAGGCAATGAATCAGGAATTTAATGTTCTTCTTCAGAACTAAACTCGGTGCCTTGATACCTCTACAACTAATATGAATGTTATTGGCCGCAAATGGGTCTTTCGTAGAAAACGAAAGGATGATGGTATTGAGAGACACAAGGCCAGGTTAGTAGCAAAAGGGTTTAATCAGGTTCTGGGGAAAGATTTCTTTGACACATTCAGTCCAGAAGTAAAACACACTACTGTCAAGCTTTCACTATCTTTGGCTTTATCCTCTGGTTGGGTTATTAGGCATCTTGACGCAGCGCCGGTTTTTGGATTTTTATGGCCCTGTTCTTATAAATAAATGAGGACCTACCAAAAGTATAAGCGCAATCTTTAAAACCAATACCGTAAAATATATGACTCTTCTTTTCAATTACTGAATGGTTTTTCCTTGCTCAATTAATTAATTAGGTCCTAATTATTAGGAGAGAGAAATGATTTGTGAAAAAAACTGATGATTTTTAGGATTAATTGTAGATTTTTCTTTTATTATTTCTTGAGTAGTTACGTCAAAATTAAATATTAAGCCCTCTACAAATTGAGGCCATGTACTATTTCCCATCTTGCACGCCCCAAAATCCGGCATGGCTTGACGTTCATAATGTTTTTTTGAATGGTAATCTGTCTGAAACTGCATACATGAAATATGCCCCTGGTTACATTGATGCTCAACTCCCTAACCATGTCTGCTTGTTAAAACGTTCTCTATATGGATTAAAATAGGCTCACAGAGCTTGGTTTAAACGTTCTCTCTGATCTAAACAGGTTCTTACTATCTGTTGGATTCCAAGCATAAAAAATGGACGTTTCATTGTTTCATTATTCACAGGATTCTTCTCATGTGTATCTTTTAGTCTATGTTAGAGATCTTGGTGAACTTGGTTTTTTCCAAGGTATTGAAACTGTTAAATGTGATGATGGAATTTTACTGTCTCAACAAAGATAAACGAATGATATCTTAAGACGTGCTAGGATGATAGAATGCAAGCCTCTATGTACCCCTATCCCTATTTCGAAATCTGTTGCATTCAGAGCAGATTTATCTGATGATCCTACGCAGTACGTACAGGATACTGGCTGGGGCCCTACAGTATTTAACAATAACACGGCCTGATCTTTCCTTCATTGTCAACCAATTGTGCCAACACATGCATGCCCCTACAGTTTCACATTGGGAACAACTTAAACGGGTTTTGAGGTATGCTAAAGATACTCTTTCTTTTGGCTTACGTATACGAAAGTCAGAGTCAAAGGGTCTACATGCTTTCTCTGATTTTGATTGGGCTAGCTGTCCGTAACATCGTAAGTCCAACATTTTATAAGTAACAAACACTTGCCAACATTGATTATAAGACAAACTGTTATACTTTTGATGAAAAATGTACTACGTAATTCTTTTACATAAAATGTAATATTTTATCCTTTATTAGTATTACATTTTTCATCACAAGTATTACACTTCTCTCTATAAGTAACAAACATTTTATTCCTTATTAGTATTAAAGTTTTTAATTTAAGTATTACGTACATTTCAATATTGACCCGACCCGATAAGTATCATGAATAAGGATTCATGAGGCGGTCTCAAACAAGTGCAGCCCCAAAAAAACTTGTATGAGACTATCTGACGTATCATTATTTGATATTATCATTTATTATTATTATTATTATTATTATTATTATTATTATTATTATTATTATTAAATTTAAATTTTAGATTTTTCATATTGGGGCCCTTTTCGTTTTTAATTTTGTCCCAGGCCTATAAAATGTTTGGACCAGCCCTGCCGGTCTCAACAATGAATAGGAGTTATGATGCGATTTTGATAGACCCACTATGCATGGATTAGATGCCTATAAATACATTATATTGATTGTATCCCTAAGATGTTGAATCACCACTAATTATAATCGAGTTTCTCATCCAATTTGGGACCCGACCATACAATATTGAAATTTATTGTCATATTTCATTGTGGAAAATATCTCAGGGGTTAGAAGATTGACTAGGTCTGATACCAGATGTAAGATATACTAAATATAATATATCTAAATAACTACTTGAGAAGAGAAAGAGGGAGAGGGAAAAACAAGGGAAAGTATATCGTTCACTGCGGTGCATAATCGATTATGCACCGCGCATCAAAACGACGTCGTTTTGTTTAATAAAAATAAACGGCATCCGTTTCTCGCCGTTCCGCACCCTTGTGCAAAAAGTAATTCCGTTATTCAGTTTCATTTTGTATATACTGCAGTTTCATATCACCACAACTACAGTATCATTTTGATATAACTACAGTTTCATTTGATAATATAAAAATAATACGTGAGACAGTGTCACTTTAGATATACTGTAGTGTTAGTTGGTAATTAACATACAACAAAATGTGTGCTCCAATAACACTAACGACTCACTGTTTCTTTACCTAAAGAAACGGTGCCGTTTTGACCGCGATGCACGTGCACCGCGGTCCACGATATAACGAACCTAAAAACAATGTTTATTTTACTTCAAGAACTCATTAAACTTAATGTACAAATGCTATGAAATACATCCTCTATTTATAGTGAAGGATAAAAACAATAAAGCTAAAATAAACTAACCACTAACCCATAAGCAGTAGCCCACTAATTAACAATACCACTAACCCACTAATTAACAACTAATCCACTAATTAAAATAAATGCCCACTAAACTTGGTTTAATACTTTCGATGAAAAATATACTTCGTAATATTTTTACATAATGTAATATTTTATTCCTGATTAGTAATATATTTTTCATCAAAAGTATTACACTTCTCCTTATTATAAGTAACAAACATTTTATTCCTTATTAATTTTTCAATATAAGTATTACGTACATTTCAATATTTACCCGACCCGATCAGTATCTTGAATAAGGATCCATGAGACGGTCTCACACGAGTGCATCCCAAAAAAACTTGTGTGAGACAATCTCACGTATCGTTATTTGATATGATCATTTTTTCATTATTATTAAATTTAAATTTTAGATTTCTCATATTGGGGCTCCCTTTCTTTTCTTTTTTTTTTTTTAAAAAATTTTGTCTCGGGCCAATAAAATGTTTGGACCAGCCTTGTCGGTCTCAACAATGAATAGGAGTGATGAAGCAGTTTCGATAGACCCACTATACATGGATTAGATGCCTATAAATACATTATATTGATTGTATCCCTAAGATGTTGAATCACCACTAATTATAATCTAGTTTCTCATTCAATTTGGGACCCGATCATATAATATTGAAATTTGTTGCCATATTTCATTGCGGGAAATATCTCGGGGATAGAAGATTAACTAGCTCTGATACCAAATGTAAGATATACTAAATATATAATATATCTAAATAACTACTTGAGAAGAGAGAGAGGGAGAGGGAAAAAGAATATTTATTTTACTTCAAGAACTCATTCAACTTTTTTTTTTTGAATGTTACTGGCTCTATTACATTGTAATATTTGTTCATATACTTTCTCAACCTACTGAAACACAAAGAACCAATAATGCCTCCACTGAGGCTCGAACTCATAACTTTCCAAATGGAAGTCCAATCCGGATACGGATAGTTATGCTGTGCATCCGTATGCACCATGCATGGTGCATACGGATGCCAAAACGACGTCGTTTTATTAAAAAACGTGTGTCTCCTCTTTAAAAAAAAATTCAGGTTCGATTCCCAGGAACAACATTATATTGTTCATTCATTCTGGAATTTTAGTTCATAGATTATGGAATTATAGTTCATTGATTATGGAATTATAGTTCATCGATTATGGAATTGTAGTTCATCGATTCTGAAATTTTAGTTTATAGATTATGGAATTTTAGTTCATTCATTCTGGAATTTTTAGTTCATAGATTAGATTATGGAATTATAGTTCATCGATTATGGAATTATAATTCATCGATTATGGAATTTTAGTTCATATGTTGTTGCTGGGAATCG